GAAGATGACTGTTAACCCTAAACTACTCACAGGATCAGTGCAATCCCAGTTGAAACACTAACATGCTATGTGAAGGGAAATTGATGCGGGAAAATAAACAGGAAGTGTCAGGAGAAAGAAGGGAATTGGGAAGTAGTCCTATGAACTGTCAAATGCACCGTAAAGGTTCAAGAATGAAACCAGATCAACATGAACGTTTGTGTGCAGCAGAAAGAGGCCCCAGCATATACACAAATATATACTCAAATTGAGTGTGTGTGATAGGAAGCATTTTAAATCAGAGGGCAAGGAGGAAATATTGAATAAATGGCTTAGAGACAATGTGGTATTTGGAAAACCGTACAGAATTCTGACCCACTGCCTTACTGTTCCAAAGTAAGTTCCAGAAGTATCAGAAATGTGAGTGTACAAGAGTGAAATGAAAACATTCTGAAGTTTAAAAGGTGAGTTTATTTATAATTGCGAATGGGAAATGCGTAAGCAGGACATATATTTGAAAACTTTAATGGGAAATGTTGAGATATTTGACTAGAAATAAAAATCATCATCGAGGACACAAAAACCCACAATTAAAGAAAAAGGGGATAACTAACTGAAGAAAATATTTGAAACCCAAGTGGGAAAAGGCTTGTAGGCTTCATTGAGCAACACATTTTACAAAGAGTGCTCATCAGTCAGTAAGAGAAACATTTACAAACCCGACTGAAAAGCCCACAGGACTATAAATGAAATTGGTGAATAAATGTATTTTTTAACAGGCTTGCTCAATTTCTCTCAAAGTTACAGAAACACATAAAAATAACAAAAAGATATAATTTCAAAGTAACAAAAATTAAAAATGCAATGGCACTGGTGCCTGCTGTGAGCATAGGGAAAAGGTCGCATTTGTAAATTGTCAACAGGAGTGTAAGTTGCAGAAGGCTGCCCTGGAAAGTTAATGGGCCATATCCATCTAAGTTAAAAATGCAGCTACCCTTTGACTTAGCAGTGCCCCTGCCAGGAATTGACCTCGTGGCTGTACTCGTAAGTTAGCTAGGAAAAAGAAACACTTACAAATATTGTTGCAAAAATGAAACCAGAACAGAAAAATTAAATAATCTATCATTACAAAACAGATTACTTAGATTATGACAATTCTACAGATGGTAAAACTACAATTTGTTCACTTTTCTTTATGTGTACAATTCAGTAACAAGTTATTAACACACACAAAGAATGAAATGACCCTCTCTCTACCAATACAGAAATATTTCCAAGACATATGTTTAAGGGAATAACAAAACACAGAACAGTGTAAAAACAATCACAAATAACTAACTCTATAAAATACCTATGTTGGCACATGCACAGAACTTTCTCAAAAGGACATCTAAGAAGTGAATGAGCCTAGAAAACAAGAGAAAGGCTTTCACTTTTTATTTGAAAATGTTCAGCAATCTTTGAAGTTTTGGGCTATATGCATGCTTTACTTTCCTTTTTAATGTTCTTCTTTCCGCTTCCCCAAGGTGTAAGAGATTGCTTCAATCCTTCCCTGTGCGGTGTTCAGATGTAATCTTCTCTTGTTCTTGTCCTAGGCACCTTAACACCCAGTGAGTGTCTCCATGTCCGACCGACCATTGGGGCGGCAGGGTTATCTCCTGGGGAGCGATGTGAAAAGGCTGCCTCAGTAGCAAGCCTTCCCTCCCCTTGGTTTCCTCCCACAGTTAATGAAGACCTCCCCAATCTCCCTGGTTCAGTGGCTCTCCAACGCCAGCTTGCCTCAGAGTACCCCGAGGGCCTGTGAACAGGTGTCGCAGTTCCTTTGGAGTTTAGAGATCTGGGAGGTGGGGACCGAGAGCTTCATTTCCAAGAAGTTTCCAGGTAATGCCTTGTTGGTCCTGGGAGCCCACTTTGAGAACTGCTGACCAGGTCAGTTGTCTAAAGTCAGACGCTGGGACTTTTCCTTGTGTGTTAATCTGCTCCTGCTGCTGTATCGAAATACCCGAGACTGAGGGATTTATAAGCAGCAACATATATTGCTCACAGTTTTGGAGTCTGGGAAGTCCCAGGTCAAGGCACCAGCAGATTCAGGGGCTGGTGAGGGCCTGTTCCTCCCTGGATGAGGCCTTCCATGTGTCCTCACATGGTGGAAACACCAAAAAGGGCCAACAGCCCCTTCAGTGCTCTTTCATAAGAGCACCAGTGCCACTCATGAGGTCTCCCCATCATGATCTAAGTACCTGCTAAAGGCCCCACCTCCTCATACCATAACTTTGGTGATTAGTTTTCAGCACCTGGATTTGGAGGGACATAGACACACAAACATGCAGACCACAGCACCCTGGCTTCCTGGCACACAGCTGATGCTTGATTTCCTACTGATGGGTGAATCCCTAAGCCCCGATGCTACTGTAGAAAGCAATGATGGTCCATGCAGTTCACCCCGCATTGACCCTACAGGCAGGAGAAGGGATGCAGGGACACCTCAGTTCCCTGAGGTTCTCGCTTCCTAATCTCACTTCTGGGGCCGGGAGGGCCAGTGTAGTGCACATGCACCCGCACTCCAGACCTAAGGTGTCTGTCCCCACATCCACAGCGCTGCGGGTCTGGCACGTGCCCATCGCCTCTTACCATCTGCTCCTTCTCAGGGTTCTTCTCCTGAAAGGCTGGAAAGTCAGGCCCCGGGAAGCTGCCCACAGCTGCAGACCTACTGGAGCTGCTGGATCCAGCCCGGGTGCCTGGCTCTCTGGAAAGGACACTTGGAGGCACAGACTCCGAGACAGACCTCAAGTCTCCCAAAGGTGACCACCCCAGACTCGCTCTCCCACTGGTTTTGGTGTTACTGATTTCCTGCTGCTGGGTTTTAACTTTGGTCCCCTCCTTGCGACACTTCCCTTCCTTCCTCACTCCCCTTCAGGTCCTTCCGGGAATCCCCTCTCAGATAAACCAAATCCTTATCTCAGGGCCAGCTGCTGAGGCAGCCTCAGCGAGAACAAGGCCTCTGCCCGGCTCTCTGGCTGAGGACCCTTCTCTATCTTGGCTGGACGGTACTACTCTGCCTCTTGGTGGGAGTCTTCCCAGGACCAACCGCGTGATCCTGGGGCTCTGAACAGGAGGCAGGTGAGAAGCACCTGCTGAGCAGGCTGGTGTAGCAAGCCCAGGAGCCCGGTTGCAGAGCACCCTCACTCCATGCTGCCTCTGTCCAGGGAGTGATGATGGGCTTCAAGGAGAGCAAGGGTGGGGGCAGAGACCTCATTACCCCCACAAAGAGGGCGGTATTGCCTCATCCACCACTGTTTGTCTTACACAGGCCCTGGCTGCCAGAAGTGTCTGCGCGGCAGGTATTTGCTGAAAGCCTGGAAAAAAAAGTTGGAAGAGAAGCGGTAAGTTTCTCAGGGCTTCTACTGAGACTTGTCAGTTGTCTACTCACCTGCTCTCCTGGCCCACGACACAAAGTTCTGCAGCTCCAGGGACCCGGGAATCCCAGCCCTGCGCATGGCAGCTCCCTCCTTCCTGCTCCCGTGGAAAGATTTGCTTCTACCTTCAGGGCTCAAAACCCTGTGCTCTCTTCTTCCTCCCTTCCCCCACACTGGGAGCCTCCTCTTTGCCTGCTGACTACAAGAAAACAAAGATCGTTTTTGGGGAATTGGTGGATAACTCAGGTGAGTCTCCCACAAAAGTGGGTAACAAGGTTGGAGAATGGTAATGTGTCCAGAATTGGTGGGTTTTTGGTCTCACCGATTTCAAGAATGAAACCGCAAACCCTCGAGGTGAGTGTTAGAGTTCTTCAAGATGGTGTGTCCTACCTTGTTTCTTCAGACATTCAGATGTGTCTGGTGCTTTCTCCTTCTGATAAGTTCGTGGTCTTGCTGCCAGGAATGAAGCTGCAGACTTTCATAGTGAGTGTTACAGCCCAAAAAGGCAACATGGACCCAAAAGCTGAAAGAACAAACCCTCCATGGTCTTGAAAGTGACCCAAGCGGCTGCTTTTATTTCCTTATCTGACCCCACCCACATCCTGCTGATTGGTCCATTTTACAGAGAGCTGATTGGTCTATTTTACAGAGAGCTGATTGGTCCATTTTGACAGAGTGCTGATTGGTGCGTTTACAATCCTTGAGCTAGACAGAGTGCTAGACAGAAAAGTTCTCCAAGTCCCCACTAGGTTAGCTAGATACAGAGTACCAATTGGTGTATTTACAAACCTTGAGCTAGACACAGAGTACTGATTGGTGTATTTACCATCCTTGAGCTAGACACAGAGTACTGATTGGTGTATTTACCATCCTCTAGCTAGACATAAAATTTCTCCAAGTCCCCACAAGATTAGCTAGATACAGAGTGCTGATTGGTGCACATCTAATCCTCCCGCTAGATATAAAAGTTCTCTAAGTCGCCATCCGGCTCAGGAGCCCAGCTGGCTTCACCTCGTGGATCCTGCACCGGGACTGCAGGCGGAGCTACCCGCCAGTCCTGAGCCGAGCCTGCACTCCTCAGCTCTCGGGCTGTCGGTGGGACCAGGCGCCACGGAGCAGGGGGCGGCGCCCGTCGGGGAGGCTTGGGCCGAGGAGGGAGCCCACCGCAGAGAGGGAGCTCAGACATGGCGGGCTGCAGGTCTCGAGCCCTACTCCGCTGGGAGGCAGCTAAACCCGGCGAGAAGTTTTGAGTGCAGCGCCGGCGGGCCGGCACTGCTGGGGGACCCGGCGCAACCTCCGCAGCTGCTGGCCCGGGTGCTAAACCCCTCACTGTCCTGGGCCAGCGGCATCGGCCGGCCGCTAGGTGTGCGGGGACGGCGGAGCCCGCGCCCGCGCCTGCCGTGCCAGAACTCGCACTGGCCCGCAATCGCCGCGTAGCCCCGGTTCCCGCTCGCGCTTCTCCATCCCTATCACCCCGCAAGCAGAGGGAGGCGGCTCCGGCCTCAGCCATCCCAGAGAGGGGCTCCCAAGGTGCCGTGGCGGGCTGAAGGGCTCCTCAAGCGCCGCCAGAGTGGACGCCGAGGCCGAGGAGGCGCTGAGAGTGAGGGTTGCTAGCACATTGTCACCTCTCAGTAGCTCTTCTGGGAGCTGATCTCAGGACGCTCCAACCTTCCTGAGGGTAGGGGGAGTGGGAAGGAGCCAGGACAAAGCTGTGGGCAGCTAGGGTTCAGCCATGGGGAGAGGGGTAGATAATACCCCAGGGTCCTCCCAGCCCAAGGGGCAGGAAGTGGGGCTGTTCACCCTCCAATTCCCACTTGTAATCAGCTAAGGGCTGCTTGTGTCCCGACCCCACATTGCTGGGAAAGCCCTCAGGCAGATTCTCCAGGGGCTGCAGGAGGCCTGCGCAGCGCTGGGAGCCATGAGCCTGGGGAGTCACCAGGGCACCAGCAGAAACTGCGGCTCCACCATATTTATTATAGGATTTGAAAATAGTGACCAATGTATACCCCCTTGGAATTAATATGGAGCAGACTCTATTTAAATGAGGAAAAGTGTATTTTTCTAGTTAATTGGACACTCAGGGAGTAGAGGACTGGAATAGAGCCATTGCGATCTGGATTTCTGTTTAATAAAACAAGTGCGAGCGTGGCATTATTCTAACCACCAGTATTTATCTTTCAAAGTCACTTGGCAGCACTAATATGTGTAACTGCTAAATGCATGTGGTTGCTGAAAATCTAAAATAATACATTATAATCTATTTAGAGCAGTAAGATAATTTATGCTATTAGAAACTTGGAGAAAATGAGCAATCTTTAAGCACCTTGGTAAACAGAGACAGTACCTGACGTTTGAAGCACAGCAATTGCAGGAAGTCTTTTATTCATTTCAGAAGGAGGAGTCCCCTACCTCCCTGACTCAGCATCGTTTGCTGTTTGCTAACGAACTTTTGGATGCTGTGGCATTGCTTCCTGGGAAGATAAGCCATGACCCTTACCGCAAGAGGCAAGTCTGGATGGGCCTGGGTGCTCAGGGCCTTTTTCACCCATACCACTGGGGTGTCCAAGGGACAAGGCGTGTGTGGATTATTACGGAGTAAACAGTGCTTTATGCTTCATCAGTATAATCACATTCAGAATCACAAAATGTGCATGCTATCAGGATCATAAGCCCTCTCCTCTCTTTTTAAAAAGTAAGTGGGAAAATAGTAATCGTGTAAGCTTGTGGGGCGTGTGCTATGGCGAGGTGTGCATGTGCTTGCGGGTGCCTTAGCGGAGCCACCTCCTCACATGAGTATTGTGTGTGTGTGTTGAGAACGTTTAAAATCTACTCTTTTAGCAATTTAAAAATGTGTAATACATTTTTATTCGCTAAGATTACCTGTCTGTGCACTAGGTCAGTGAAACCCATTCCTCCCGCTTAACTGTTGACTTTGTACCTTTTGACCAACAGCTCCCCTTTCCGCCTCCGCCGCCTCAGCCCAGCCCCTGCTAACCGCCATTCTCCTCCATTCTGTGAGTTCAGTCTGTTTAGATTGCACGTGTAATGAGATCATGTGATACTTGTCTTTCTGTGTCTGGCTTATTTCACGGTGAATAAGGAAAATGTGGCCTATATACATGATGGTTTCTATTTGCAGCAACATGGATGAAGCGGGAAAGCATTACCTTCGTGAATGAACCCATTCCCCCATCCCCACTCTCTCCAAGGGACAGCAGCCTGTGTGATTTAAATGGTTCCCACGCTGTCCCTATCCCCTGGGGCACTGGATGAACTTGATTAAAGCTAAGGATTAGACTTGGTCATCTCACTGTAAAGCATGCATTCCTAAGGAGATAAGGAGAGACCTCAGACAGCTTGGCTCTAGGCTATAGAGAGCCACCGATGTGCCAGCTGGCGGAGACAGAGCTGTCTGTTAGAAATGGTGCCTTGGTGATGGCTGCAGACATCGTCATGGCCTTTCTCCCTCCCTCGTGACTTTTTCTTCTTGGAAGTAACACACTGGTGTCTTCCTTCCTCCCCAGGGAGTCAGGCTGAGTTATTAGGCTGGGGAGTGTTGGGAAGGAATTGGGCCTGCCTGACTCGGCCCTTCCTGCCTGTACTTTGGTGGTGTGCTTCTCTGCCAGAGCGTCTGGTGAGCCTAGCGCACCCTGTGCCTGGGTGAGGGCTGTAGTTTCTCTGTCATTTTTTTGGGGAGAGGGGTAAGAGATCACATGAGATCTGCCTTCTCAACAATTTTTTCCAGTTTTATTGAGATATAATTGACAAATAAGAATTGTATGTGAAATAATACTACATATGTGCACACAGAAAATGGTGGGGCAAAAAGTACACAACTGGAGAATGAGGGTAAAGAGAGTGTAGGAGCTCTTTGTCCTAAATCTGCAACTTTTCGGTAAGTTTAAGACAATTTACCTCTATACCCTTTAGCTTCATTCACCCACCGTGTGCATTCCAGCCCAGCATCACTTTCCGTGTGCGTAGCTAATGTCATTTTTTTTCTGATGCACTTGAGAGAGAGTTGGAGTCCTCATGCTATTTATTCCTAAATATTTCACAATATGGCCTGAGAGCAAGAGCCCTTCCTATCACATAGTCACAGTATAATGATCAAAACTCAGGAAACTTAGTGTTAATACTATCATTTAATCATTCTTTGTCAGTTTTCTCAGAGATGCCAATGATCAGCCTTTCTCCCCCGTCTGGGAGCCCTGCGTGCCTGGAGTATTACCTTTGCTTGCCGTGCGGCTCTGTCCATGTTGCCTCTGGAGTGTGCCTTCTCAGCCTTCACTGTCCTTCGTTGCCTGGACACTTCTGAAGAGAGCAGGCCAGCAGTTTGGTCAGTGGCCCACCTGAGCGGACTGACGGGATGTGCCCATGGTAGGGACATCCCAAAGCCCAGCACATGGGGGCGGGGGCGGCTCAGCAGGACAGTGCTGTTGACCACGTTACGTGGCTGTGTATGGGAATGTTGGATGTCTACCTGCTTCTGGTCCTCCCTGTTCTAAAAGCAAACCCCAGACCTGGAAGGGGAGGTGGGAGAAAGCACTGCTGGTACTCACGGGTCCCTGAACAAAGTCTTTGCCCTTCCCCCACCTCTCCAGAAAGCCCCTCTCCGGAGTCTGCCCTCTGACTTAGATTGAATTCTTCTTCTAAGTACTTCTGAAATAGAAATCCCTCTGATGGCCACAGTGAAACTCCATTTCTCTGCACCTCCACACCAGCTCATCTGGGGCTAGTCCCTGCCCTTGGTTGGTTTTGACAAACAGAATCTCTCTCTATCACTATTCACAGTTCATACTACAGAGGGCTGAGTCTTCTGAAGATCTCTGCAGAGAATTACAAATATTCCAACTGCTATTTGCTGCCACAGAGGGCTGAGCACATGCAGAAACTTCTGGAGACAAATTATCCTTCATAAACTCTGTGAAATATGTTCCTCTTATGCCAAACCTATCTTTTGAAAGGAAAAAGAACTTTCTGTGTCGGGTATATTGTCAGGATCTCCCTCTTTTCATTAATTGGACATCACTTGATGTCAAGGATGTTTGGGTTTTGCTGCTCAACCTCTTAAAGCCCATTAGTGTCTCTGTCTTTCTTCCCCAGGTCCTGATTTTCCACACTCTAGTTCTGCTTTCTGACTATACTGTGGTTATGTCATTTGTTTTAGGTGATCTCAACTCCTTTGGGAAGCACGGTATATTTTTAGCATTTTCATAGTTACATTGTGCTCGGTTCCCCAGCAGGCAGAAATTCTTATCCCCATTTCCCATGAAGAAAACAGTCTGGAGAATCCAATAACAGGCTCAGTTTTCATGGGACAGGTTAAAGGGAGAATCAGATGTTAAAGCAAAGTCTAGAATATTTTCCTCCTCATGTGAGTTACTATTAAGAATGCAGTTACAATTCTAAGAAAAAATATAAATAATTCGTGAGTTCCATGGCTGACAGAGGCCAATGGATGGCATCCTTGCCGGGCTCACCGATGAGGTCCCTGTGGCTCAGGGAGAAGTCTGTTGAGTGCATTGCTCCTCTGTAGGCTGCAGCTTTCCTACCACCTTCACCCTGTGTCCCCAGCTTCTAGAACAGCGCCTGGCAGGCACAAAATAGGCCGGGGCTGGTAAATCATGTTGAGCAAATGCCCACGATAATCATTTGTGCTTTCCACTTTAAATATGTGGCCAGAGATTCTCATTCTCCGTGATGTAAACTCATGGGAACGTGGAGGCCTCCTAAGGCCAGGCAAGTGGCTGTCTGGGGCCACAGGCTTCGCCCCTCACTGTTTGCGTTCTGTTGTGATGACCAGAAAGCCTCCTTCTCACAGGGAAGGCCCAGGCCCTGCCCTCCTCAGAGCAGCATCAAGACGCCCATGTGGTGGGGCCAGTTTGGAAGCCTCATCACAATGTCCACAGGGTCTCTGAACTGGGAAGGATCAGGAAGACGGTGACTCCCAGACGGCAAGGATGAGCTCTCTCAAAACTGACTTTGCTGGGTTTGCTGTGGCAGCCTGGAATGCAGGGTGGTGGTGTTCGGGCTGTAGGCATTAAGACTGCTGTAATTGATTGGTGATGTCTGCCCTGAGCAGGACTGGGGAGTGGGAGGATGAGTGTCACATTGCCAACTCTAACCTGATCAGCGGCCCTTCATGGTTAAGGTTAGGGAACTCTCCCCTGGAGAGGTGCCTTCCAGAAGTGTTTAATTGTTGAAAATGTTTAATTGCTATCCCCGAGGTGCTGAGGAGATAGCAATGAACAAAGCGAAGTCCCTCCCTTCTGGAAGCTTGCATTCTAGTGGGGTGCCCAGTGGCCCTCAAACTTCAGATCTATCCAGGGTTTGTTACAATGCAGGTTTCTGTGTCACAGTTGCTCAGATATTCTGATTCAGCCTGTCTTGGAAGTGTCTGGGCCATCATCATGCTTGCAGTGACCTCAAGTGGTCCTCTAAGGGTCTGAGGGTGGCAACAACAATGGACAGGATGCTGGGAGGGGGTTTGAGGGTAGACTGAGGCCATATTTGTGGCCAGCCCCCAATCCCTCCTTACAGTGCTGCAGGCAGCTCCCCCTGGCTGGCTGGTGTTGGGTGGAAATGGCTTCAGTGCCCTGCCCTACTGAAGCTCAGTGTGGAGCCCTTGTTGGGTTCTCAGCCGAGAAAAAATGAGAGAAAACATCCATGAGCCAGAAATAGAAATTGAGAGCATTAAGCAAATGGCCAGTTATCTTTCGGATGGTACCCAAATGTACTGTCTGTTTATCTGCTGCCTTCAGAGCAAGCCGGTGCCTGCCTTTGGGAGCTGACTAGGAGGACGGCTACTCAGAGTAAAGAGGCTTAATTTTCCTGGCCAGAGCCTATACTTTTTAGTATGTTGATTGAGTGAAGTGTGCCTGCTTTCCTGTAGAGTCAGAGGTATTTTATCACAGACAGGAAAATCCCTGTATTCCAAACCCTGGTACCCACTGCCTGCACACAGGGTAACGTGCAGAATTCCACCAAATGCCCGGACTCCCCCGAAGTTCAGCCCTACCCAGCCGTGATGCTGTTTCTCTCCTGTAGACAGTCATTAAACAGTCATGTTGCAGGGAAGAAGTCCTCTCTTAAGAAGATGAGCAGCGGAAAAGAGGCTGTATTATGCTTGCCACGTCTGCGAGATGAGGGAGGCGGCGGGTGGGGCAGGAGGCCCAGTGGAGGGTGGCACAGTGGGGTGATATGGAGAATCAGCTCCTGTGAGCCGCGGGGCTTCTTTGGGAACATGAATCTCTGGCTCAGCCAGACCTCCTCTACCAAGGGCATTGGTTTCCATGCTGCCATTTTTGGGCCATCCATGCTGGGGGTATTTCCAATCGATTGAGCCCTCAAAGGGGCCTCCTGGACTCCTCAGAGCACAGCCTCTGCCAGTATCAACAGCCACAGCAGCCACATCCCAAAGGCAACCACCACCTGGAGGAATGGAATCATCTTCTGCCATGTCTCTGATACTAACCTTGGCACCTGTGCTTTACAGGGGATTTTTATGTTGTTTCCCACTTCAAAGGCCTGTCTGAAAGATGCTCTTTGGATTTCAAAAATACTGGGTTAAAATTTCTGACACAGTAAAGCAGAATACTTGATACTGTGTATGTATAAAAAATTCTGGGTGAACTGCTGCTATCGATGAATGTTTTGTCCTTATTATTGCTATACATAATTAGTAAACTCGATACCAGTATTGATTCAGCATGGTAGGCCCGCGGGGCTGGGTAACTGGTTGGAGGGACGTACCCCCATCTCAGGCAGCTCTGAGGGGTGCGTGCCTCTGGCTGTGCAGGCCCGCGAGCTCAAGCCGGCAGCGGGCAGACACAGTTCAACCAGGTGCGAACCAGGTGTGGCATTGAGACCCCCGTGTCCACTCCAGTGCTCAGATTCTTCAGGGCACTCTCTTCCTCTCCTTTCCTCACAAGAGCTGGTCACCTGCTCATTTCTTCACTCTGCACTTGCCTTTGTTCCTTCAACTCTTAAGCAGGAAAAATTCTGTTTCTTAAGTAATTGCCTTGAGATATCACCAGTGGATGCTGGAGCCAGCTTGCTCCAGCTCCTGAAACCTAAGTGCTAAATTTTCAGGGGTCTTGGGAGCCAGTTAACACAGGCATCATTAAAAATTAAATGTTAAAAACTTACAATTAAATGAATTGTATTAAAATGAAGGGAAAGTACTCAAACTTGTCACTTCCGGTTCATTGACATTTGACTGCATCTGTACTCGCGAGGTGAGGTGGATCCACGGCCCTCCCTAACTGTGTTCATGGACCTCACATGTGCAGCCTGGAAGCAGCCACGGGTGAGAGGAGTCACACCTCAGAAGGGGCAGACACTGCAAACTAGAGCTTTCCTGCCCAGATAGCTGCTTATTAAACATTTACAAGCGCACCAGTGGGAATGACAAAGTGCACAGAACTGGAGAGCTGCACCCGCGCCACCGCCGCCCAGCCTGCCACCCCGCATAGCCACCACCCCAGTAACTGACTACCACCCTATGTGACTGCCACCCCGCCAGCCACCCCGCATAGTCATCACCCCAATAACTACTACCCCATGTGACCGCCACCCCTCCTGCCACCCTGCATAGCCACCACCCCAGTAACTGACTACCACCCCATGTGACTGCCACCCTGCCAGCCACCCCGCATAGTCACCACACCAATAACTACCACCCTGCACAACCACCACCCCGCCTGCCACCACCCCAGTAACCAACTACAACCCCATGTGACTGCCACCCCGCATAGTCACCACCCCAATAACTGACTACCACCTCGTGTGACTGTCACTCTGCCTGCCACCTCGCCTGCCACCACCCCAATAACTACCACCTCATGTGACTGCCACCCCACCTGCCACCTCGCATAGTCACCACCCCAAATAACTACCAGTCCAATAACTGACTACCACCCCATGTGACTGCCACTCTGCATAGCCACCACCCCAATAACCGACTACCACCCCAATAACTGATTTCCACCCTGTGTGACTGCCACCCCGCCTGCCACCCTGCATGGCCACCACCCTGTGTGAGTACCACCCCCATAACTGACTACCACCCCGAATAAACACCAACCCGCCTAACTACCATCCTGTGTCACTACCACTCCGAATACCACCTCGAGTAACTACCACTCTCCGTGTGACTACCACCCCGCATATCCACCACCCCATGTGAGTACCACCCCTATAACCACCACCCCGTGTGAGTAGCACCCCAAATAACTACCACCCTGTATAACCACCAGCCCACTTAACTACCATCCTGTGTAACTACCACCCCAAATAACTACCACCTCAGATAACTACCACCCCATGTGACTACCACCCGTATATCCACCACCCCATGTGAGTACCATGCAATAATCACCACCTCATGTGACTACCACCCTGTGTAACCACCACCTTGAATAACCCACCTAACTACCACCCTACATCACTACCACCCCAAATAACTACCACCTTGAATAACTACCACCCTGTGTGACTACCACCCCGCATATCCACCACCCTGTGTCACTATCACTCCTATAACTACCACCCGTGTGACTACCACTCCTAATAACTACCACCCTGTATAACCACCAACCCACCTAGCTACCATCCTGTGTCACTATCACCCAGAATAACTACCACTTTGAATAACTACCACCCTGTGTCACTACCACCTCAAATAATCACCAACCCTTCTAACTATAGCCCAGTGTAACTACCACCTTGAATAAGTACCACCCAGAATAACCACCCTGTGTCACTACCACCCCGAATAACTACCACCCTGTGTAAGTACTACCCACAATAACCACCACCCCACGTAACTAACATCCTGCATAATTACCACCCATTGTAATTATCACCCTGAATAACTACCAATCCATATAATTACAACTCTGACAACTACCACCCTATGTAACTACCACCCCATGTAACCAGCATCCTGAGTTATTACCATCCCATGTAGCTACCACCCCTTGTAAT